TTAAAAATAAGTATAAAGTGAGCACTGTACACTTTATATTCTGTGTTGTAATTGAAATTAATATATTTGAAAATGTAGAAAACATCCATAAATATTTAAATTAGTGGTATTCTATTGTTTAACAGCACGATTAATCGTGATTAATTTTTTTAATCACTTGACAATCCTACTTCTAAGAAGTAAGAGTCAAATTTTTAAATGTGGGCATATGAGTTTTGTCTATTAGACCTGTCGTGTGCTTCTGGTATATCTATGGTTTCTATTGGTGCCTGGAAAAAATGCACATGTATCTATTGCGCCAAGTCTTACACTCCTATACACAAAACAAGCAGTAGGGAGGATGGGTAGCCTTGTGGTTTAAGGTACTGGCCTGGGACCAGAGATATTTCAATTCCTAGCTCCACCATAGATTTCCTGTGTGATGTTGGGGAAGTCTGTCTCTGTGTATCAGTTAAATGGGGATACTTCCTTACCTCACAAGGATGTTGTGAGGATAAATCCATTAATGTTTGTAAGGTGCCTAGGTCCTTCGATGACGAGAGTGGTAGAAGTCAGTAAATAGTCTGCCTTGTTTGCATATGCAGTTCCCTGATTTGTGTGTACACGTGGAGGTTCCGTACATACAATTGCTGCATGGATGTTTTTATGGGTGCAATTTATGTAGTCACTTTTGAAAAATTTCACATTACATTTCTGCCAGATGTTTAGAGAAAAAGAAGGTTAGGGTGAGGTGAGAGAGGAGCTAAAAATAAAATAATCACCCCTGTCCCTTCCCCAAAAGCAAAAATAAATACATTGATTTTTATTTTCCTGTAAAGCGTTCATGGGAATAGCACCTCTTGTGCATCTATCCAGTTCAAATTTTGACAACCGAATTATAAATACCTTCCAAAGGGGCTTATCATCCTGCTAAATGAGCTTATAAAGAAAACATTGACACAGAACATAAACTGTGACCATCCCCCTGGGGATTGCTGTAATAAATCTTGACTGCAAGTGTCAGGGGGTTAAAAATACACATGCCTGTAAAATGTGTTTTGTCATTGTCAAAGAATGACTGTGGCAGCAATTCAACCTGTGTCCCTCTGTTGCAATGGGTATCGCTAGCACACGGGTCAGGGCCTTCATCCAAAAACAGGCACAGCTTTACTGCCTTTTCCCCTCCTCCTCCCCAAGCTGTCTTTATAGAGATACATTAGATATAGCAGGACAGTCATTTGGACATCTGCACATTTTGCTATGCTACCGTGTGTGCTAGCTTGTAACTTATTTTTTTAAGTTGAATGTTTCAATTCTTGTTTTTTAATTAGCTGTGTAGGTCCAAACCCTGACACCTGTACTCTGGCAAAATTGCTGTTGAAATCAGTGGGCAGTTTTTCTGAGTAAGGACTGCTTGTTTTGGCCTCTTGTTAAATTGCTCATGAAGCTACTTGGCAATCACATTCTAAATAATCATTAGTAGCTGAAGTATTGTCTCATTACAGCTCTATTCCGTTCCTCATCTCCCCACTGACCAAACCCGCCATCAAAATCAGTGCCTGTGTAGGACAGATCTACACACAAACTGGCATCCAAATGACTGAATTGGTTGTAATCTACACCTTGTCTTATTTCAGTATAGTCAGAGTATGGGCATTCTTACTGTGAAATCAGTGTTCTCTTTTGATTTTGCTTAACTCAGTAAAATATCAACTTAAGCACAACAGAAATTGGACGTTTTTGTGCTGAAATAAGGGTGTCCACACAGAGACTTGCACCAGCATAACACATGGTGTAGATTAAAGCCCATTTAGTTATTTGGGTGCCAGCCTGCGTGTAGACATAATCACTGATTATGCCAGCCTTCTCTCTGGGGTCTTATTGGGCTGGTGAACAATTGCATACCTGTGCTGCTGTTCTGTATTTCATTTCCTGGGACAGGTTTGCTTAGAAAAAGTCATGATTTACTGAGAATGTTTTAAAAATGATGGACCAGATAACTGCTCTTAGAACCCGTAGTGCATGTGGGAGGTGGAGTGCTGGAGTGGCTTGGAAGGAGGTATGTCTGCCTATGCAAAATGCTGCCAAGGAGCTGGAGAGAGCACACTGAGCAGCAACTCTTGCTGCATCTATGCAACTGATGTAGTGTGTGTTCCCACTGGTGCTGCCCTCTCAGAACTGAGTGGTGCCTGGTGAGGGACCAAGACCAAATCCCCTCTTAAACAGCTTCTGCAGCTCCCCCTCATGTAGCTCCCCTCATGTAGCTCCAGTGGCAATGCTGGCACCTCCGTCTCCACCACCTGCAGCATTATGACCACATCTTGCAAGGGAGCTCCCTGCACCACCATCTGTTTCACCCCCAGTGCACCTCTGCAAGGCAGCCTAAACCTACAGTGGCTATTCTTCTGTCTTGTGCAGCAGATGTTTATGCTGTGGGTGTGTCTGTGACTGCTGTATGCAGGGAGAATGTTAACACTAGGAGAAAGTTTGGGTTTTTAGTGGGTTGGTCCTCCAGTCAACAAAGACTGCTTGTTAAGGAATCATAGTGGTGGTTTGACGTGTCATTGTTTCATAATGTCCCAT